CACACACACACACACACACACACACACACACACACACACACACACACGAAACCAGGAGTCAACCACTTCTCACCACCTCCACTGCTGCCATCTTCATGTCGCCACTGAGACTCCTGATTGGTCACCCCACTTCTATCCCTACCCTTTTAAAAGTCTCTCCTCCGCGCAGCAATGGGAGGGATCATTTTACAACTCAAGCCACATCATGTCACTCCAGCCACAAGTCCTGCACTTCACTCAAAGTAAAAGATAAAATCCTTACAGTAGCCTTCCTATACTGTCATTTCCTCCATCTTCCCCTTCCTCCCACCACTCTTTTACTTGCTCTGCTCTAGCCACCCTGGGTTTCCTGCCACTCCCTGAATGAGCGAGGCATATTTCTGTCTTTTAAAGGACTTTATCCTAGCTGTCTCTCTGACAACAAGTCCTTTCGAGCATATATTCACCTGCCTAAATCCCTCATCTCCTGCAAGTATTGGCACAAACAAACTTGACCACTCTATTTAAAATTACAGCTCTCCAACCTACCCCATCCCACCCCTGGTACTCCCATCTCTCCTACCCTGTGTTCTTTTTCTTCCTTCCAAAGCTCTCAACACTTCCAGCACGCTATACAATTCACTTACCTGACTACAATGTAAACTCCATGAGAAGAGGGATCTTTGTTATGTTAACTGATACATCTCAAGGCTCTGGTATGTAATTGGAGCTCAAATGCATATTGAATGAATCAATCAATTTATCAGATAAGCAAAGATTTATAAGCCTGATAACACCCAGTAGTTGTACACAGATGGTGAAAAAAATGAACTAACGTCTTCTAGAGGGTAATTTGTCAACGTACATTTAAGTATTTTTATTATAGAAATATTTATCAAGTTTCTATAATGTTCAGCCCTTTCATTAAGTGATTCCACTTCTAAGTACATAGCCTTAAAGACTCCGCGATGAACGCAGGTTTAATCTATGAGATTTCGTGAAGCCATTACAAATTGTACACGTCTATATTTACTATAGTAAATGATTCACTATAGTAGCACATTTAAACAAAATCCAGGGTGTCAGTGTGTTTTTTTTTTAACTTTTTCTTAACGTTTATTTATTTTTGAGAGAGAGGGAGAGAAAGAGAGCGCGCATGCACACACGAGTGGGGAATGGGCAGAGAGAGCGAGCGATACAGAATACAAAGCAGGCTCCAGGCTCTGAGCTTTCAGCACAGAGCTGGAAGCAGAGCTTGAACTCGTGAGCCATGAGATCACGACCTGAGCCAAAGTCACATGCTTAACGCTTAACCGACTGAGCCACCCAGGTACCTCAGGGTGTGAATGTTTTAAACCAAGCCTTCTTAACCAGAGCATTAAATACAATTCCTCCTCAAAGTACAGCAAGTAATACCTACCTCAGCAAGACTTATCAATAGAGCACATATATTCAGTACCCTTAATCAGTTGTACAATTTAAAACCCAAAGAGAACAATGGCCAATCTGTATTTATTACCAGCTATTATTAAACTTTTCAGAAAATTGTTAGCTTGTTAAAAGTTGATCCCACCATTCACTCACATGACATCCAGCACTGAATCATTCCGAATGACCTTATGGGAGACATCAGCTAGCAGAAAAAGACCTCCATCTGTTCTTCGGATACTAGCTGCATAGCCTGGCCAGATCTGCAACCTGAAGAGACAGGTGAGTTTTATCTTAGGGTTCTAAAAGGGCCACAGATACTTCCCTGCCCCATTTGAAACAAGTGAGTAAATACCACCCGCCTCCCTAATAACAATGGAAAAAGCACCACAAATCAAATTAAATCAACATCATTGTGAACTTACTAAAAAAACTAAATTGTGGAATAGATTTAACTGATAAATTGTATTCACAATCATAAAATACTGTTGAGATTTCTGTACTAAATATGGTAATCACAATGAAAAATTTCTTTCCAGAACATTCAAAAGTAAGGAAGAGAAAAACACCACTGACCTGTGCTGCTGTAGAACCATAGCACTTGTAGGGTCATAAAAGTTTCTCCCTACAAGCTTCATATCTAGAAGTTTCATTACCCTGAAATAAAGAGCAAAAATGGGTCTTCTAGAGAAGAATGAAAAAAAATTAAGCTCTATTACTCTTAGTTATATTTTCCTTTTAAAGCCTGAAATGCCAAAAATGTTGGTGTCCTTTGCACAATATAGCTTTTATGCTGAGAACACCCTTGCCAAACGAAAAAGAAAAATTATCAAAGCATTTACCCTGGAGTACATACAACTGACAACAGCTTGTCTTAGTTACTAGGTAACCAAAAACTGAGTTGATTTCCCAAGTTCCATTTACATTATTTTTCACAATTAACTAAAAAGAATGCAAGAGAGTCAATTTCTGTTTGTAAAGATCACTCTGGCATAGGAAGTTATGTTTGTCCTGGTAGTTCAGCTTATTAGTTAGAAATCAGGTTCTGTGTTTCATTTAAAAAGAGGTGGTGCAGGAATAAGTTTTATGAAAATTTGGATCTTATAAAGTTAAAAACATATGAACTGTCTGTATCCAAAAATTCAAGGGACCTAGAAAAAATTCTTCCAGCAAAAATTTTTGTGCACTACCACTTTGAATAGCCCCGTCAGTAACACCATTAAATTACGCAATATAAACATCTACTTTTAAAGTTCCTGAATGATTCCAAGCAACCCATCCTGCTACTGACCTTCATTATACCCAAATCTGCCTAATCACTTGACATAATTTTTGAATAAGTTAGCCTCAATACCATCCATTTATTTATTAAATGTTTCCAAACTCATCTCTATAGGAACTGTGGTATATAATACCATCCAAGCTTCTTGAAGAGCACTGTTACAAACACAAGACTGTGATTAAAGAAAATAAGCTGTTTTCTCACCGACGGAAAACAACATTGTAGAAGGGAATGCACAAGTCAGAACAGGGCTCCAGGATCTTTGTCAATTGAATCTTAATGCTGATCTCTGCATCATCAGTTTTCCTTTGACTTTTTAACTCAAGGACCTAACAAATAAATATATGCAAGTTAAAAAAAAAAAAAAAAAAAAGACAAAACTACCAAGCCCTAATCTCATCAAATGTGTTCTAGAAAACACTAAAATATCTTAACTATATTTTCCACTTTCCCCTCACCTTGCTGTCCACACTGAACAAAATCATAGCATGACAACAAGGATTTAAGAAAAGATTTGGTAAGAGAAATGTAATGGAGAACTGACTAGCAATAGATCCCTTTCCATCTGAAATCTTAAACCATTTCCTATCACTGAGTTCACAGGCTTCAAACCACTCCTCTTATTTAAGAAGGGACTTCTTGGAGAACTCAGATGAAAAAGTGGCTTAGTTTGACATTTCGTTGTTATGGAGAAGTCTGTCTTCCCTCTAAGAATAGGAAAGAACAACTCAAACGTCAGGATGTCTATGACTTCCTACCACTCAAAACACCAGAACTCTCTTAGGTTTCATTCCAAAATACATTTCCTATTTGGTCTCACTTGTTTCTGAAGTTTAACAGGCAGATAGAGAATGGATCCATCAAAAGCAGTAACGTTGCCGGTGACAGCTTGATGGTCCTTCAGCATGCCAAACCTCATGCTTTTGCACTCCACATTGGGGCTAGAAAACAAAAAGGATTTTACTTCAATTTGCTCAAATGGCAACCTTTACTAAATAGGTTTGTTAAGAACCAGTCAGTTGTAACTACTGCTCCATCTAGTGGTCGTATGAAAAATTCAAATACAGTTTACCTGACTACAAAAGGAACTTCAACCCAAGAATACCTGCCCACAGAAAAAAAACCCACTACCCAAAGACAACTGCCTTAGCATGTCAGCATATGTTCTTCCAGATTTTAGAAAAGACAGACAGAAAACTTTTTCATTAAAGGACCTGATAGCAAATATTTTAGGTTTTACAGGCCACATGGTCTCTGGTATAGCTACTCAACTTGACCAACACGTACCTAAACACCACAAATGGTATGTACACCAATGAGCCTGGTTATGTTCCAGTAAAACTTTATTATAAAATAGATGGTGGGCCAGATTTGCCCTGCAGGCCAGTCATAGTTTGCCAATCCCTGCTCTAGAACCTGCAGAGATACACACTTTAAAAAGAACTTTTTAGGGGTGCCTGGGTGGCGCAGTCGGTCAAGCGTCCGACTTCAGCCAGGTCACGATCTCGCGGTCCAGGAGTTCGAGCCCCGTGTCAGGCTCTGGGCTGATGGCTCGGAGCCTGAGCCTGTTTCCGATTCTGTGTCTCCCTCTCTCTCTGCCCCTCCCCCGTTCATGCTCTGTCTCTCTCTGTCCCAAAAATAAATAAACGTTGAAAAAATAAATAAATAAAAATAAAAAGAACTTTTTAAAAACATGATTTTATGGGGTGCCTGGGTGGCTCAGTCAGTTGAGCATGTAACTCATGATTTCCGCTCAGGTCATGAACCTGGGGTCATGGGATCCAGCCCCAAGTCTGGCTCCGCACTGAGCGTGAAACCTGCCTGGGATTCTCTCTCTCTTTCTGCCCCTCTCCCCCACTTGCACTCCAAAATTAACAAAAATAAATAATAAAAAAATTTTACTTTTTTCACTTGTGGCAATTTCTACACTTTATTGATTCATTGTCACAAATCTTACAGCTTTGAAAAGCTCCAGTAGCTACTTTGGTACAATGACTGTCCCATTTCATCTCAGTAACACACCATCTCTTATCTAACTGCAAAATTTAAACAAATCCAAGGCTTAAAAGGGTGAAGTATGTTCAAGTACATGATGAAAGATTCAAAAATTGGGGGCTCCTGGGTGGCTCAGTCAGTTAAACATCCAACTTCGGCTCAGGTCATGATCTCACAGTTCGTGAGTTCAAGACCTACACTGGGCTCTGTGCTGACAGCTCGGTGCCTGGAGCCTGCTTCAGATTCTGTGTCTCCCTCCCTCTCTGCCCTTCTGCTGCTTGTGCTCTTTCTCTGTCTCTCAAAAAGAAATAAATGTTAAGGGGCACCTGGGTGGCTCAGTAGGTTGAGCGACCGACTTCGGCTCAGGTCATGATCTCACAGCTCATGAGTTCGAGCCGTGCGTCGGGCTCTGTGCTGTGCTGACAGCTCGGAGCCTGGAGCCTGCTTCGGATTCTGTGTCTCCCTCTCTCTCTGCCCCTAACCCACTCGTATTCTGTCTCTCTCAAAAAGAAAATAAACATTAAGAAAAAATTTCAAGAAAAAAAAAGAAACGTTAAAACAAATTTTTTAAATAAAAATAAAAACGTCAAGTGGTAATTGAACATAGCTGTCCCCAAAACTAAACACGCACATGCTAACATCACATTTCAAAACGCTTCTCTAAAAAAAAATTCATATATATGAAAGGCACTATGTCCTGAACACAACACTTAAAATTGTCTTTCTGGACTCCCTTCACATAATACAAGGAAGCCACAGGATGACCACTCCACTAGAATACATCTTCTGAGTATCCTCTTCATGGCCTGGCATCCTCTTCATATTGCAGCTTCAAAGGTCCAGATCTACAATCTTAAAATTTATAAAATCCATGTCTTTTTCACTGTCAGTCAATGCAGAGACCTGTGAGGACTCATACTCCTTTCTGCATCATGAACATTTGTCAACCCATTTCCACAGAAAGGGTTCTTTCCTCTTGTTAATGCTCATTCCTTTCCCTTACATTCCAGAGCAGGGACATTCCCACTACCCTCCCTTCTCAGGGGTTCAATTTTACCCTCTTTTTTTAGTTCCTTCTCTTCATGTGTAACGTGCTCAGCTTTAAAGCAATCATCCTGGTACTCTCTTTAATTATCCTTCCATTTCTCATTCCTCTTACATACTTTTTAAATAAATGGCCAATTTAGTGGCTGTTTCTCATGGCCTACGCTCTCCTTGGTTCTTTTTTTTTTTTTTTTTTAAGTTTTATTTAGTTTGTTTAGAGAGAGAAAGAGAACAAGTTGGGGAAGGGCAGAGAGAGAAGGACAGAAGATTTGAAGCAGGCTCTGTGCTAAAAGCAAAGAGCCCGACTGGGGGCTTGAACTCACAAACTGTGAGATCATGACCTGAGCTGAAGCGGATGCTTAACCAACTGAGCCACCCAGGTGCCCCTCCTTGGTTCTTTTAGTCTAGTTTTTTCTCCATAACTCTAACAAAGCTACTAGGAAATCAACAAGGGTGCTCTTGAAAGTAAATTCAGTTAACTTTTTTTACTGTGGCCAAAGTCAACCACCTCCTTCTCATTCAAAGGAGCCCTTCCTTGGGGCGCCTGGGTGGCTCAGTCAATTAAGCGGCCGACTTCAGCTTGGGTCATGATCTCGAGGTCCGTGAGTTTGAGCCCCGCGTCAGGCTCTGTGCTGATAGCTCAGAGCCTGGAGCCTGCTTCGGATTCTGTGTCTCCCTCTCTCTGACCCTCCCCCATTCATGCTCTGTCTCTCTCTGTCTCAAAAATAAATAAACGTTAAAAAAAAAAAATTTCAAAGGAGCCCTTCCTTTGGTCTTTATAATCTATCTTCAGGGTATTTCCTCCTAACTGTTCCTTTCTTCTCTCTTACACTCTATGTATTCCTCTTGTACCAATTAGCAGCTGTGCTTCAAAAATTCAGTCTTCCATTTTCCTATTTTCTCCCCAAAGATACTCCAAAACACTCATTTTCACAATTCCAGCAATAACCTCCAGCTAATAAGTTTCCTGAGATTTTAAAAGAGAACACAAACTAAAATGAAATCTTAATTTTTAAGAACGAGAAACCCTGAAGTTACTGACATAATAGTAAAGTTATTCTCTCTGATTTTCTCACTCTTAGATTTTTTTTAAATGTCTATTCATTTTTGAGAGAGTGTAAGTGGGGGAGGGGCAGAGAGAAAGGGGACAGAGGATCTGAAGCGGGCTCTGCGCTGACAGCAGCAAGCCCCATATGGGACTTAAACCCACGAACAGTGAGATTATAACCTGAGCCAAAGTTGGACACTCAAGTGACTGAGCCACCCAGGCACCCCTCACTCTCAGATTTTGTCGTAGACTGTCACTGGAGAGCCATCATGGTAGGAGACTTATTGCAAGGAGGATCTGCGTTTTGTGAGATGTGGGTCTCACGCCACTGGGGGAGAGGGGTCTCTCCTTAAGACAAGGAATACAAAATAATAGATACAAAATAAGTTAAAAGATTATGGAAGGGGTCTATGCAAGTAAAAGGCCCTGCACTTAAGCTTCATTAACTTCACAGAAAATCCACCTTACAGGCGCATAAAATGGTAAAACAAAAATAATAAAATCTAAAATGGCAACATAGCTAAATATAAATAACGTTAACCTTAAATTTAATGCAAAGACCAGAGTTTCTGCATTATTGTAGGCAGAAGTTCATTATGAAACACACAGAAAAATATTCAGTTTTTCCAGGAAAACTATTTCATTAATGCTAAGAAGTGAATACAGAGAAAAAAGCTGTGAATACCTGAAAGTCACATGATATTGATAGACTGCTTCATTATGACACTGTATTTTTATAAGATTCAATCCCAAAGATTGAGGTGTACCTTTTGATCCTTGCTTCACAAAAAGCTCTCTGAAAAATAAACAAAAGCATGCATATATACCCAAAAGTGCAAGCCCATACCACAAGAAAATAAATAAAAAGAAATAAAAAAACATTGAGGGAAATAATATTTTACACTTAGCTTACACAAGACACACAAAAGCAAGCTTTGAAGGCTAGAAGCTAAATTCTTACCAATCTCTAATTAGAGAGGCAAGTTCACCTCCTTTGCTCCAGTAATATAAATGGAATAATCTAGGCCAGATAACTAAGAACACAAAAATTAGTTCCACTAAGATAAACTGCTGCAATATCTTTCCTAGATGACTTCCTTATCTTCAATGTGACAAAGAACTGCTGTGCCTGAATTGAGAAGAGAATGAAAAATCACTTGAATCACTCTCTGGTACATGCTATCTATACCATCCACCCATTTTACTTCATCAGGAATTGTCCCACCTCTTGTCATTCCCCCCACTGGCAAAAAAAAAACCAAGAAACACAACAAACAACCTTCCAGTAGCTACCACCCACAAAGGAGCTTAGATACAACAGAAAACAGTGTTTACAATATTATGAGAAGGCCTCTCCCCACACCAATGCCAAGCAGAGAAGGCAGTGCTCCGGACTTACTTTCCCTTGTGTTCTACAGTCCCAAGTAGAGGGTGATCCAGAGAGTGTGGTGAGGATGGGGGCAGAGGTGGTGGTGATGACAGCTGGGCAGGATCCCGAGAAGTCAAGCTGAGAGTAGCAGGAGCCTTGTATACTCCTCTGCCTATACCACCAGCTGCTCTTCCCAAAGGGAATAAAGACATATCCGAATTCCCTCTTCCAAGCATTCTGAAACATTGAAAAGAGAACAAATCAGGATTTTCTTGACCGTCTACAACCCATCTAAATGATTCCTCCAAGTCTACATTCTTTTCCTGGAGGAGTCAGCAACAGGGACCCAACCTTGGGATTCTCTCCAGATCCAATACACCTACATGACTCATTTCGCTAATTTCTATTAATACTGACTCTCAGGGCCAACTTTCATGGCAGAACTGAGGTAGAAGTTAGAATCAGCCAGGTTAAAGAACCACACAATCAGGTTAACTTAACAGAGCAAATGGAGTTGTAAACTGCTCAGTGGAGAACTACTTTTTACCCTTTTCTAATGACTGATTACATCAGTGGCTCCTAATTATTCTTGCAAAATATCCATTCTTTAATATAAAACCATGCATTGTTTATAAGATAATACAACCCTTTTCAGAGTTTCTCTCTGGATTTACAGAGCTATTTCATCTGAATTTGACACTTACCTGAGAAGGCAACTTTACCTACCTATTCCAACCAACACAGGCCTCTGCCATCTTGTTATCCCCAGCTGCCAGCACTGAAGGATCCGGAAAAGTGGGATGGGGTTCTTCTTTGTCCTTGCGTACCATACTGGTAGACAAGCCTCGACCTAAAATGCCTCTACCTGAATGGAAGGGCCAAAACCCAACTATAACTGTGAGCTGAAGATGTTTTAAAGTACAATTATTTTCCTGAAGATAAACTGTACGAATTTAAGAACAAAGCAACCATACATACATACCACCACATTTTTTTTCAAATTAGTTTTTCACATACCTAATGGAGGCATTTCCCGTTTCAGAGGGGTCCGAGACACTGTTTTAAGGCCCAGTCCTCGGAACATGGAGACCAAATCCACACATTCCTATGAAAAGAGTAGAGTTATTCTAAGATATATTTCAAAAGTTATTCTAAGATGCAGAATGTATTTCATTTCTAAAATGAAGTAACAGTGTTATTTCAATGACTGGAAGTGATGCACATTCTGTAATGCACATAGTGAAGTGTTTAAGAAGATGTAATAAAAATCATCTTTGAATTCTATACATGTTACAACCATAAAGGAAAAAATGCTTTATAAAAAAATTATAGGTATATTTAATAAACCCTTTAAAAAAGAAAACATTTATTTATTTATTTTGCAGGAGAGTGAACACGCATGGTGGGGGGAGGGGAGGGATGGGAGTGGGAGAGAGAATCCCAAGCAGACTCCATGCTCAGTATGGAGGCCAATTCAGGGCTTGATCCAATGACTTTGAGATCATGACTTGAGCCAAAATCAAGAATCAGATGCTTAAGGGACTGAGCCACCCAGGCATCCCAATAAACACTTTTAATAAACACTTATAACTACATGTGACTATATATGACATTTATAACTATGTCATATTAGACTGTCAAGCATATATACAGCTATAGCCCATGATTTGATGTATAGAGTAACAGAGTGCAATTCTTCTAGTTTATTTCCTATACACCCAAGGTAAGAGAAAACACATATACTAGTTAATATATTTTCAGAAAAACTGGATCATTTAAAAGTATCTGAAGTTTGTGGGGTTTTTTTTAACAACCTCTAACAAAACTTGCTGTTTTCTTGCAGCAGTTTTGAAAGTTTACTGCTGTTATACCTGTTAGAGCTGCCACTTATAGACTCAAGCAAGTCATCTGAGTAAAAACACAACATAACATCATCAATTTTTCTTCCTACAGAATATTACATTTGACACTGTCAACTCTTAAAATTGTCATAACTGTTTATCAGCTTCTTCCTATATGTGCTAACTCCTTATTCTTTGAGATTTTTAAATTACAAATACCACTCTTAAAATTACTATATAATTAAGAGATTAAGAATGCATATACATGCAAGAGTACACACATTAAAAGCAATGGCTGAAGATCTTTTTATTTAAGATTTGGGCAAGGAGCCTTCTGGAAAAACTTTCCTAACAATTATTACCTCAGAAGCAGGACTGTCTGCTAATATCACAGAGCCCAACCCAGCATGAAAATCTAAACACTTAGAAAAGAACAACAAGCTATTATCTTTAAACTTGTCATTTGTGTATATGCATTTATATGTATAGATGCTAGGGAACTAAAGCATTTACCCAACTCTATTTAGCATTCTTTATGAGGCACTTTTTCTAAACTCTTGCAACTTTAGGATTTGAAACAGATGCCCGGCATGCAATTACTTGTTAAAGAAAAACCAACCCAACCCAACCAACCAACCAAAAAACCCCAACCATTTTTTTTTCATACAGGGCTTCAGTTTTCTAAGCACTTTGAAATCTCTTATTTCCTCTGATGATAAGCTGTATGCTGCTACATCTGCATCCAGACATGGTCTTACCCTTTGTGCTGGCCCACTCCGTGGGCTTGGTTCCCCTGGCTTCCCAAATACATGGCCTCTGCCTGTAGATCCTGCCCTGCCCAGCGCTGAGTCCAAAGGTTTAGGAGCTTGTAGCCAAGAGCCAGGCATCCGTACACACTGAGATGGGTTCACAGAAGAGCCCCTGAAGGGTGGTTGGACAGGATCCATTCAACGGCTGCAGAGGACACTGGTGTCGATCCTATTCTGATAAATTACCTGCCAACATTTCATTTTATAAAGATTAAAGATTCCCAATTGTTTTCCTTCTTCTTCAAGACAGATTCACAAAACATTAAAAACATAGTTGGGTTTTTTTGTTTTAGAGAGAGAGCACATGCACACAAAAGCCAAGGGTGGGGGAGGAAAGAGGGAGAATTTTAAGCAGGCTCCACGCTCAGTGAGGAGCCCAATGCAGCTCAATCCCTCGATGCTGGGATCATGACCAGAGCTGAAATCAAGAGTCAAACTCTCAACTGATGGAGCCACCCAGATGCCCCGGAAATATAGTTTCTTTAGGTCAGACCAGTAATACAACCAGCCTCCTTCCTGTATCATGTTCACTTCAAAAGCTCTATTTATGGGGCGCCTGGGTGGCGCAGTCGGTTAAGCGTCCGACTTCAGCCAGGTCACAATCTCGCGGTCCGGGAGTTCGAGCCCCGCATCAGGCTCTGGGCTGATGGCTCAGAGCCTGGAGCCTGTTTCCGATTCTGTGTCTCCCTCTCTCTCTGCCCCTCCCCCATTCATGCTCTGTCTCTCTCTGTCCCAAAAATAAATAAACGTTAAAAAAAAAATTAAAAAAAAAAAAAAGCTCTATTTAGCCCAGAATATTTTGAATATTCTCCATCAGCAAGCCCTTAAAAGCCAAGCTCTCCTCAAAGGTACTTGTATTTTCTACCCAAACAGCCTCTCAGAGAACCCAGTCCTGCGCGTTAACTACCTATTGCACAAGGAAGCACTTTTTATGTATGGACAGGATTTTGGTTTATGAACAAATTCACAGTTAACATAATCATACCACAAAATTATTCTGTCAGTAAATAGTTGTGGGTTTTGCTTTGTTTGGGGCCTCTCTTTTCTCTACTAGACTCGTAATTTTTTTCCCAGTCTACTTTCACATAAACTATTCCATCTCCCCCTTGATCTCCATAGTTGCTTCTCTGAATCTTTATCCAATTCTTCTCTATAAAACTCTTCTTTCAAACTCTACCAGAACTGAAGTCTCTAGGATGCAGACTCTTCTGCTTTGAGCTTGCAATACCTGTTGAGTCTCACGGGTGACATTTAACACTCTTTTCTCACCCAGGTAACCAGGGATAAGACTCTTCCTGGCTCCTCACATCTCAGGACCATCAAGCCTCTTCAAAATCACTTTATAATCTATAGAAGTCAGGACTCCTTTAAAGAGCTTCCTTCATTGCCCTGACCCACCCCTGATCCCTTAACTGACAAGGAAACCTCTTAACTTTTGCAAACTTGCCTTAAGTATTAGCTACAAAAAATCAGGCCATCCACATACAGAAAAGACTGACAGAATTCCTAAGTCAATACTACAGATGGTTATAGTTCAGGATCCGGGAAAAAACAAACAAACAAAAACCACAAAACAAAAAAAACAAACTTTTGATTTTTAACTAAACTATAAATGTAAAACTAAAATGGCAGGATATGCCTCCCTTCCTTAAAGGCTACAATAGTACTCCCCTTTAATTGTTTAAACTCCTTTTCAGTTGCCCTGGCCTCCTTTCTCACATCTTCCCAACAGCACCCAAAGAATCAGTTGTCTAACCAGCACACACTGAGAGGCGCTATAATACCTACCAATTACAGGATTTCTGGAATCCTCCTCTTTCTCAGCCCTTCCCTCATCTCCATCATCACTTCTAGGGATTCAGGCTCCTCCTACAGTATGCCCTCCCTTAGTATGGACTTTTCTCCTTTGATTAGTGAGCAGAGAGCCGGATGGTTAGAAGGCGCGATAGGGACGGGCCCCAGGTCAGGCCTACCTTCCCGAACTCTCCAGGTGGGAGCTCTGGGCTGGGGAACTATGACTTGGGGCCTAACCAGAAGGGAGGCCTGTGAAGGCGAACCCTACTCTCCCACCCCAGAACAAAGTCCTATTCCCAAAACCAATAGCTCTGTCGGGGTTCCCACTCCCCGTTTCCGTCTAAGTAACTTTCACGCTCTCCTCTGGCCACAAGCTTCCCACCTTTTCCAGTCCTGCGTTCCTCCTACACACCCAGCCTCAAATAACGACTTCCCGCCCCCGCCCTGGCCCCGGCCCAGGACCCGGCCCCACCGGGGACCCACAGCCCCTCCCGACTGGGGTTGGGGGGTGGAGGGCGGAGAGTCCGCAGTGGGCCGAAAGAAACCCTCCCCGCCCCCACTCGCCACCTGGAGCTTGAGCGAAAGCCCACCTGGCCTGCCTCGGGAGCAGCTGCGCCTCCCTGGCCTTCCAAACCTGCGTCCCGTCCACTCACCAATCTCCAGCCGTCGCCCCGCTCTGCTGGCCTTCAGGAGAACCCGGTGCTCAACGCCCCCGACACGCCAAAAGGCCCACATGCTCCAGACCAATTTCTGGTCTTCTCGCGAGGCCTCAAGGGCTGAACCCATTGGCTAAACGACGTGCCACTCACATGATGCAGCCATCTCATTGGCTCGTCTCAGAAAAGAACCTCTCCCTTTCTAGCAGCTTCGTTCTACAGAAGGTTCATCCCCAAAGAAGTGCTAGAAATGGGGGTCCGGAAGTTAGGGGTAAACCTAATTAAGTGTGTTTTTTCTAAGCTCTAGACTCCGTTCTGTGGGCAACTCCCGTTAAAAAAATTTGTCCATAATGTAAGTGACTTGCCCCATCCTTCGCAGTTAGAGGATATAGGAATATAGGTGGTGAATAAAGGGTAAACTTGAGTTTACATTCCAACTCAAGGTCACCTGATTGCGTGATCTCTGTGCCTCGCTTTCTTTATATATGATAGGAATAAAAACATCCATTCACAGGGTTGTATGGAAATACATCATTAATGGGATGATGTATATAAATGACTTACCACAAGATTGCCTGCAATAAATGTTGCTTACTATTATTATTTATGGATGTTTGAATCTGTTAGCCAAGAAAAGCTTTCTCCAAAGTATATAAAAGTATTGGTGGTTAATTTTGCAATTACAGAATATTTTCACTCAAAAAAATAAAGATTTCTCCCCCACTCCAAATATTTTGGCAAATAACTACACCCTTACCTAAACCCAGCTTTTCCAAGGTGGATGGGTTTAAGCTTCAAGAAACCTTGGCTGATGCTGCTGAGACATGCAAATACTCTGCATGAAATAGCACTAGAGAAGGCTTTTCCAAACCTCAGATATTTCATACCTTGTTTTAATCCACACATTCAAGGAATCTCCTCTTTTTCTCAGATCAGAATAGAGTTTGAAAATTATTGGAGCAGGAGGATTTACAAAGCAGGGATCTATCTGCAAGATACCCCTTTACTGTTTGTAGATATTATTTGTTTAACGTTCTAACGTTGTAAGTTCTTCTACCCTACTACCTTTCTGCCTTGCAATGTTAAAATGTTATGTTCTAATAACATATATAGTAGGCAGAATTTTGTTGCCCATGCAAACATTTAGTAGCAAGTGCACTCAAAAACAGTAATAAAAACTGTTTTGTAACCTTGGTAAAGTCCCAACTACCTGTCCTTCTGGGAACTTTCATCAAACTTCGCATGGAAGATTTATTCCATACCCAGGAAACAATATTTTAGGGGCAGGATTCAGCAGATCTTCACAACAACAATTCTCAGGTAATGTTCTGAAGCTGTCAGTTTGGGAACATAAACCAAGAGCACCATTACTAAAGGTAATGGTAATATATCAAAGGGCATATTTAGGGTTCCTTGTCATGCAAGAGTAGGTGGCCTCTGTACAGTGTTTCTAGCCAATCCATACATTATGAATACTACTTATTTCACCAAAGAAAAATCTATATAGTCTCAGTGTTGAGTGGACATAAAGATGGTTGAAGCTCTCTAAAGTGTGGACATCTGCTTAGAATCTTTCAAAAGCTAATCAACCTTTCCTGGAGTTTATACTCCCCATCAGGGTACTTCACTTGTTAATTAACCATACGTAGGATATCAATTAAAAATAGCACACACACATCATACTGTCTTAAGTATTTAAAATTAAATTATCAACGATATTTTCATAAAACCAAATTCATCTACTTAGCCCTGCCAGGCTCTAAAGCTCAGGATGAAGATGACCCTATAACTACCTGCAATCTGATTTTCCCAGGCAATCATGACTTCAAATACTCTGGCCTTTTGTCCTCATAACTACTTCCATTCTGACCACATTTCCAGAGTATTTTTGTTCAGAAAATATAGTCACCACAGCCACAGCATTGTCAAGGGCAGAAAATTACATTGCCTGTTGGGCCTAGAAACTACAGGGAGGATTTACTTGGAAGTAGACCTATGTCTGTAGTACCTCTGGGTTTCAGGTGTAAGTAAATACAGATCCTCCCAGGAGAAATATAGCTTCAACCTGGCCTCAAATGTTCCATTAAAAAGTGTCATTAAATATGAACTCAGAAGAAAAATAGATACATACAAAACACATTTAGGGTCAATAAATGAGTGAACAGTTCTTTTGTTATTTGCAATTTAAATCTAAAACACATATAAACACACACACACACACACACACACACACACACACACGGCTCAATAAGAAGACAAAACAATCCAATAAAAAAGCAGGGGACAAGTGATTTCAACTGATCTTTCACCAAAGATGATATACAAATGGCTAGTAAGCACATGCAAAATATGCTCAATGTCATTAGTCACTAGGGAACTGCAAACTAAAACCACAATGAGATATCATTTCACACCCACCAGAATGCTTATAATAAATAAGACAGATAATACCTGTGATGCTTAATTTTATTAATCAGTTTGACTAGGCCATCTCTGGGGTGCCTAAAGATTTGGTCAACGAGCCCCGCGTCGGGCTCTGGGCTGATGGCTCGGAGCCTGGAGCCTGTTTCCGATTCTGTGTCTCCCTCTTTCTCTGCCCCTCCACCGTTTATGCTCTGTCTCTCTCTGTCTCAAAAATAAATAAAATACGTTGAAAAAAAAATTAAAAAAAAAATTTGGTCAAACATTTTGTGTTTTGGATGGGATTAACACTGGAACTGAGAGACTGAATAAAGCAGACTGCCCTCTCTAGTGTAAGTGCGCCTCATCCAATCAGGAGAAGGCCTAATTAGGACAAGAAGTCTGACCCTTTCTGGAAAAAAAGAATTCCTCCTACCTCACTGCTTTTGAACTGGGATATCCACTTTTTCCTGCCTTCGGACTCAGACTAAAACATTGTCTGTTTCTGGGTCTTGAGCCTGTCAGCTCTCAGACTGAAACAGCACCGTATATGTACCCTAATGGTTCTGTTTTTCCGGAGAGCCCTGACTAATAACAGATTTTGGAACCATGAAGTGGGGTGCTGTTGTAACAAATACATAAAAGTTTGTAAGTGTTTTTGGAACTGGGTGATTAGTATAGACGGGAAGAGTTTTGAGGTACATGCTAGAAAAAGCCTAGATTGCCCTGAAGAAAGTGTTGGTAGAAGCACGGATGTTAATGGTGCTTCTGGTGACATCTGGGACTGAAATGAGGACCATGTTATTGGAAACTGGAGGAAAGGTAATCCTTGTTATAAAGTGGCAAAGAACTGGGCTGAATTGTGCTCTAGTGTTTTGTAGAAGGTGGAACTCATAAGCAATGAACTTGGATATTTAGCTAAGGAGATTTCTAAGCAAAATGTTGAAAGTGAGACCTGGCTTCTCCTTCCTGCTTCTAGTAAAATGTGAGAGGAGAGAGAGAAATTGAAGGAAAGATTGGGGCACCTGGGTGGCTCAGTCAGTTGGGTGTCTGATTTCAGTTCATAATACTGCTTGTGAGTTCAAGCCCCAAGTAGGTCTCTGTGCTGACAGCTCAGAGCCTGGAGCTTGCTTTGCATTCTGTGTCCCTCTCTTGCTTTGCCCCTTCCCTGCTCATTCTCTCTCTCTCTCTCTCTTTCTCAAGAGTAAATATACATTAAAAAAATTTTTTTTTAATTGAATGAAAGATTAAGCAAAAAGGAACTAGAACTTGATGATTTGGAAAGTTCTCAGCCTACCCATATTGCAAAAATGGGAAATCTTGCTCTGGAGACAACACCAAGGGTGTGGCTAGACAATCCAGTCCATTAGGAGATTATCTAAGATTAACTATGGAGTTAATCAGCTATCTCAGCAGAAACTGGGAGTAAAGATGGGATTATAACCAGCAGAGACACTGCCAGTTTGAACCAAAAGGAACAGAGCCTGGATGAAAGAAAGGAAGGTTTTTGGACTTCTGGGACTCTAGAAGACAGGACAATACAGCTATTCAGTCTGCTTTATCCTTTAAGGCGAGGAAAGAATAACCCCAAAGGTGACTCAGAGATGTCAGGGCTGAGACTCACACCCCAATCTGGGAGGGAAAACTGTTTCTTCTTTACAGGTTCACAGCTGGAGAGGACAATTACCTCAGGATGAATCAAACTTGATTTAGATGATATCCAGATGAGACTTTGGACTGGGAGTTAACACTGGAATGGGTTAAAAGTTTAGGGGATGGGGTGCGTACTGGGATGGGATGAATGTGTTTTGCATGTGATAACGACATGCATTTTGGGAAACCATAGGGCAGGAAGTCATGGACTGAATCTTGCCATCCCTAAATTCATACGTTGAAGCCTGACCTCCACTGTCACTGCATTTAGAGACAGGGCCTCTACAAAGATAATTAAGGTTAAATGAAGTCATGAGGGTAGGGGGTCCTGCTCTGATAGGATTAAGAAGAGGAAGAGACACCAGAGATCTCTGTTTCTCTCCATGCGAGCAAAGAGGAAAGGCCCTGTGAGGACACAGCAAGAAGGTAGCTGTCTACAAGCCAGGAAGAGGGCTCTCGCCGCAAACCAAATTTGCCAGCACCTTGATCATGGACTTCTAAGCCTCCAGAATTGTAAGAAACAAATGTCTGTTGTTTAAGCACCACTGTCACCACCCTCATATTCTGTGGCATTTTGTTATGGCAGCTGTAGCTGACTAATACAATAATAAATATCAACAAGAATGTGCAAGTGTATGTGCCTGACATTAAGCTTTTTGATTGCTGAGGTGCGCATTTCAAAGACCTCCATCTCAAATACACGTGTTGCCAGCTAAACAACTAGATAAGGAGCCAGGCTGCCTTTATCCATGAAGTTCTTTAGAAAGCCTTGTGGAAGTCTGACTTATTGAGGGCCCCTATTTTTCCCTCCCCACATCCTGATTCCTGCTCTTATGTTTTAAATTCACCAAAGAGTACACCCACACAATGCCAGCACCCCACCTTTGATCCTAATAAAGGTGGAAGTTCAGGTCCCCCCCTACCCCATACACACACACCTTGTCTCTCTCCTTTCTTTGTCTCCCCTTGACCTTGCTATGTGGCCCTCAGGCATTTTGTATACCCTCCAGGACTTGTGAATAATAAACAATAAACTTTGTGTTTTGTTTTGTTTTTTTTCAAAGTTCCCTGATGGTTGTTGCTGAGATGTGTCTTATAATGATAAGAACCACAAGGGTGGGTCCAGCCACAACATTAGCTCCAGTCAGGGAAATGTCTGTGGGGGCCCGCCACAAGTAGAACAGTGAATGCCAGGTGAGTACCCCCCGGCATTCCTAGCTGACAGCATCACTATCAAGAGGCTCATGTAGCAAAACCAGAATCCCCATACATGGCTGCTGGGAATGTAAATTGGTGCAACCACTTTGGAAAACATTTGGCAGTTTCTCAAAAAGTTAAACAAAAAATTTCATTTGAACCAAAAATTTCACTTCTTGGTAACTACCTAAGAGAAATGAAAACATATGTCCACCCAATGCACGCACGAGAGTGTTCATAGCAGCATTACTGATTAAAGCCAGAGCATAAAAACAACCTATCATCAACTGGCAAATGGACAAAATGTGGTACATCGAAACAATGAATAAATGTAGCAATAAAAAGGAACAAACTATGCCAGATGCCATGGATAAACCTCAAAAACATTATGTTTAGTGAATTAAGCCAGACACAAGAGACCACATATTGTATGATTCCATTTAGATGAAAAGTTTAAAAAAGACAAATGTGTAGAGACAGAATGTCATCTAGCAGCTGCCGGGGGCTGGGAGCAGAAATGAGGAGGAGTTATTAATGGACCTAAAGGATCTTACTAAGATGATGAAAATGCTTTAAAATTGATTTATGGTGATGTCTTTACTACTCAATAAATTTACCAAAAATTATTGAATTTCATACTTGACTAGGGTAAATTTTTGATAT